TCTTCATTATTGAACATACAGCTTTTTGTCATAGTTTTCTGTTATAAAAATGCAAGTCTAGAAAATTAATGGCTATTCTATTCTGAGATGAAAGATTATTAGCCCTTTTGCAGCAGAAGTTTAATAAATAGACTTTAAACATGTTTCAAGGAAGAGCACCGGCATGATCTTTGCATATCCTTTAGATAGAGCTTCTAATAGCTTTATGAGGTTTCAATCAGTGTATTTATGATAGGTTACACAAACCTAAAGCGACTGATCTTTTTGATGTAAAAACTCTTCTTTCAACAGCTGTTTGTAATGCACTGTAAACAAGTCATGTTATGTGCAATGGCAGTTCTTTGCAGGGAGGATAGTGTTTCATGAGATTACAATAAAATTATTTTAAAAATAATCAGTCTTAAATCTTTTGCCATTTTAGAATAGCAGTAAAGATTTTGGTGGCCCCATCTTTCTTCTTGTTCTATATCTGAAGGTACAGAAAAATTTTGAAAGTGGAATTTTGATTCTGGGGAAAGTAAATTCACTTGACAACTACCTTAAATTTTCTTTGTTTCATTTCACTAGTGAGACTCCTAGTAGTTACAGGAATTTCTGTTTTGGTAGCTTTCTGTTTTGCAGCAGTGAAGCTGACTGGAGTAACTTCTGGCTGCTTATTCTGACCCTTGTGGTGCAGTTTGCTTCCCTCTTCCACCCATGAGGCTGTTGCAGCTCTAGGGAGGGAGGCTGGAGGGAGCTGCATTTGTAACTGGATTGAAAATACAATCCAGAGGAAAAGTAACCTTAAAATTGTTGTTTTTAAACCAGTTCATTAAAATGATCCATGCTGTTGCTGTGCTTTTCTTTCTGTTAAGAAAGTGGAAGAAAAGGTATATTTGTAGATGTACCAGAGAAGTAAAGTAAACAATAATTACAGAAAGGGATTATCTTTTTTGTAATAGAGGTTGTACACATAGTTGATGTGTGTATGATATTCTTCCCCTTTAGACTCCTCCTAAAACAGTCGACTTTTACCTGTAAAATACTCTAAGAGCACTCATTCTAAATTTTACAGGCTCTGAAACCGCTGTAACCAGAGTGTATGGGACTAAGATTGCAGCATCTAAATTGAATTGCTAAGAATTCTGTAAAATAACAAGTCGTCTCTAAAAATTAATCCTTTTTTTCTTTCAAAACTGTAGGCTTTAGTTGTATCTAAACAAGTTTATTAGGTGAGAATCTGTTAAGTATGGAACTTTTACGTTTTAATACCATGTCCCTTTAGAGTAACTAGCAAAGCAGCATCAATTGTAATGCTGTTTGTGGAGTGAATTTTTTTTCAGGCTATTAATTCCTTTTAATATATGTTACCTTTGGCAGCCTGTTTGAACTGTTTGTACAGTTTGTATTTATAATGTTCCAGATTAAATTCTTTTGAAGGCACTTGGGTTACAACAGTTACAGTTATACCAAAGTGGTGTTTAGAGAAAACACAGATATGCATTCAAATAGACTTTTTACTATACTAGACTTTCAAAACAGGGGCGAGTAATTAGTCTCCACTGCACTAGGGAAGGACAAGCAGTTATAATGTGTGTTGTTGCTGCTGGTTATGTAGCAAGTTTTACTTGGAATACTGACTTTAAAATATCCTGCCTTCATTATACCAAGTACATATATTTTTGGTTGCAGGAAACTGATAGCTCTCAAAAATAAAAGACCTTACGAAAATTCTGGGTCATTTTCTCCAGTCTTGTTTTCAAAAAAGATGGCACATTCATGATCCCTTGAAATTCTTTATTATATTAAGGCATATAATAAAGCTATTTAGAATTTAAATAGTTGTAATATATTGGTCCTCTTTTTATAGCATGTGTAACAAAAATAAAAATTACGTTATGTGCTGGTATAGTGTTTGGGAAGTGATAGAGTCATCAGTTAGATTTGCCACCCCTCACAATTCAACGCTTGCTTCCCCCTCACCCCCCAATCATAATGCCCAAACTTCTGTTTAGTCGCTTGTAAAAGTGGGGCCTAATTACACTTGCGAACAGTGTATTTTGACAATTAATGAGTAAAGCCAGTCCTCATTATATTTTATTGTACTTGAAACTTATTAGTTAGGTTGGAATCTGGCCAGTAGGGGTTCTCTGTAAACTCTGCCTGATGTGCTTCTCTTGATGTAACAGTACAGTCGTCTTGTTGTTTCAGGGCATTAAGCTTTGTTTAAAAATGAATAGATGAACTAGTGCTTTAATCTTCCAAATGCAGAGCAGAAAGACAACTTGTACCTTAGTATCTGCACAAACGCCGTAAGTCATGCTGTAGTCATGCATGTTGGTCAGTCTGTCTTGACCTTGTTTACAGTTTGATTCATACCAGTGTCATGGATGATACTAAGCTGAGCTTTGTTGAATTTTGATGTCAGAAATAGTAGCATATTATCTTGGTATGCATGTTCTACTTTAGTGTTATTAATTTATTTTCTCAAGAAAATAGTATTATATTGCAATTAATGTTTTTCTGGGTTATTTAAGATGACCTGATTTTAAATAACCATTTTGCTGTGGTAGAGATGACATTTAGCTGTCCACTGCCTTAGAGCAGTATTACTGTAATTAGATAATGAATGCGATACTTAAAAGTGGCTTTCCATCTTGCATCTGTCAGTTTTCTGACAAAGGAATCTGTTTTGGGTGTTGTCATCATCCTCTGTCTCGGCTTCCAATATCCAAGAGATAAATCCTGCAATTGTTTCATGAGCTTCCATGAGCTTTCTGAGACCTTCCACATGTTCTAGCTAGGACAATGTAGTGTAGTAACTAGCTCTTCATCAGGAGTTCTTCTGATTATTTTTTTTTTTTTTTTTTTTTTTCTCCTTTTGCCTGGAGTTTTCTTTACTGTGGCTTGCTTCAGTGGTGTAGCTGTTTATTCAAATGCAAGCTCTCCTTCTTTTCAAGTAAAAGAAAGTACAAAGAAAAATAGAAGTTCCTAATGTTTTCTAAGCTATGCAGTCAATGGTTAGCTTGCAGAAAGGAGATGGCAAAAAGATATGAAATACAGCTTTGTCCTGTACTCTGGAGTTTTTGGTGGTCTCTGTGTAACTGAATGCTTGTGCCAAAACAAACTCCTTATTGACTCTCTATTAATATATTAACTGTGCATAGCAAGTTTAATACATTTTTATATATTCAGTGTATATATTTATATATACTTGAAATGGGCTTGTCATACATTTTAAGGAAGAGATCTAATGACCATATTTTAGTATTAATTAAAATAGCATGTTGTAGTTCTGAGGATACGCATTCTTAAACAACATCTACTTGCAATTTTTTTAAAGAATAATATTCAAGCATCAGAAGCTCTTAAAACTGAAATTGATGATTTGAAGAAGAAACATGATGAGGCTGCTTCAAAAGTTCTCCAGCTTGAAGAAGATATCATGACTGTTACTCAGAAAGCCATTGCAAAAGAAACAGAGTTAGACAGGTATTTAGTCTTAACTAAATTTGTTCCTTGCCTTCCTTATTTTACTGTTTCTTTCCATAGATGCTTTTTTTAAATAACAATTTTTAATGTATGCATTGATTTTCTGTATTAATAATTCTGTACTCATAATTTGTCAATGTCTTAGTCTGAAGGACAAACTGAAGAAAGTAATGCTTGAGAAGGAGCAACTTGAATGTGTGTTAAAGACAGAAAAGGACGAAAAAGAACTTTATAAGGTAACTTTATTCCTTGTACCTGTATACACTGAAATGAAGTGGTTTGAAATAAAAGTCAATCTTTTATGGAGAAGTCTGATGAACTGAATGTGTTAAGGAAGAAAGGAAATGGGTAACTTCTGTGAACAGATTTTTGAGACAGTTATAGATATTCTCATATAAAAATACGAGGAAAATAGCATCTGAATTCATCTTATGATATAAAAAGGTCTCTAAGAAGGAGAGTGGATTACGAATTTGTTAAAATGCAAGCATAAGAACAAAAAATAATAGACACTAGTGAGGAAGTTCTTTAGTTGTACAGTACATCACCCACTAACTGGTTTTGTTAACGCGCTTTTTCATAAGTAAATTACTTTTTACTCTTCTAAGTTCTCTCTCCAGACTGTTTTCTAGATCCCTGTTCTTGAGTCTTGTGCATAACTCTTGAGAAGCTTTAGTAGGATCTCTGTTGCATTGATTTTTTTTTTTTAATTTTTTTTTTTACACTAGCATAGCTGATGTCTCTTGCTGGTATTGAGAGACACTCATATTTAAAATAAAATATAGTGTGCCCCCTCCACCCCCCCCAGGCAAAAAAAGTTTTATATGCTGAAATAATGAAATCCTTAGGTTGTATGAACCAAATCAAGTGTATTGAAAAGATTATTTGTGTTCATAGGAAAATGTCATTATGTGGTAGACAGTACTAGATATACATCAGAAGTCATAAAATCTCAAAACTATCTTCCACAAGCATGGAATCCCTTTGTAAATAAGCAAGACAAATGTAGTCTTTGAGTGGACAACACTTGAGTGCAACAGTTATCCTTTGTTAGGCATACTATGATAGACTTGATGACATCTTAAAAGCAGCTCTAGTGTTGTTAAAGTAGTTTGCTGTCTTTGGAAATGAATATTGCTGATGTAGCCCTGTGTGGGTAGATGATTGCAAGTAGATACTGCTAGAAGTTTAATTTCTGTTTAGTTTTCTTGAAGTCATTTCGTTTTTGCTTGTCTTTAGTTGTCCAGCATTTGTGAAGAGAGGAGTGAATCCTGAATAGCTTAATTTTGATGCAGACTGAATTCAGGACCTTAACTTCTAGCTGTACAGGGGAGCTGTTGTTGGATGATGAAACTGAAAGAATTCCAGCCAGAAAATTTGTGCTGGAAGGCAGTGATGATATCAAATGTTTAATTTTTCTCTTTACCTGTTCTAATCTGTCTCAGAGATTAGTTAGAATTTAGTGAACACTTAAATGGACAGGTGAACAGTAGTTTTCATGACGTGGAAGAGGAGTTTGACATTTTTTAGCATCATTACAGATACACTTGAAGAATACAGAAATAGAAAACACCAAACTAGTAAAAGAAATCCAGACGTTTAAGAATTTGGATGCAAACAAAGAAAACATGATATCGTATTATAAAGAGGAGGTTGGCAGATTACAGCTATTTATAGCTGAAAAAGAAAATATGAAGAAAGCTTTTTTGCTCTCCTCGTCAAACAAGGTAAGCATTAATAATATAATTGGCCTGGTTTAAAATAAACATACCTAAGGTGGCATGTCTTTGACACGAGAAAGGAAGAAGTTGAAGATGTCACCAGAGTATAGGCTGAGAGGCAAGAGGATTATGGTGTTCTCAGTAGATACAGAAAATGAGCAAAAGAGTGAATTCAGTTTTAGTTTTGCACATTCTGAGCTTGTTGAGGTCTTTCACGCGATGAACTGTGAGACGAACTATGTGGCAAAAAGTGTGAGTTCAGTAAAGGTGCATCAGTAAAAGTGGTGCACTCCTCTGAGTTGCTTTTAACTCTATGAAAAAGGAAAGAGAGGAAAAGTTAATAATGCAGCTATGTTGAGACTGCAGAGGGTGATGGAGGAGAAAAGAGGTGACATTGAAAGATGTACTGAAAGACTTGTTAGATGAATGTACTGTCAAGATACAGTGATGTAAAACCTGAGAAAGGATAAGATACCATGTAAGTGGACTAAATTGACTGAGAACTTGGCAATAAGAGTGCCAGTAGGACTTCTAAGGAAGAGGTGACTTTTGCGAAGCAGTGTGGTGGCATTGTGGTTAGCAAACAGTGTAGTATAGTAGGAGAGTGAAATTGCTGAAGAACTGGTAGCTCTGCTGTCCATAGTCCAGGTGGGGTTACTTTAGACTAGTTTTAGTGTGGTGCTGTGGATAGATGTATTGGGTTTGCATGGCAAAGTTTTG